TTTGCACACCCCTCACTGTTGTTGCAGTTGGAAAGCAAATCACCACCATGTGCTAATTGCAGGAGGAAGTACAGATGCTCCGCCGAATTGTAAGTTTCGTAAAGCTTCACGATAAAGGCGGAGTCGCACATACCTTTTTCTGTTTGGCGACCATCCGTCACCAAAAAAAGTACTGTTTTGGGGGGTTGAGAGGCCTGGAAAACACGAAAAAGATGCCTTTTTCTGTTTGGCGACCATCCCGGCACCACAAAAGCTACCGCTTTTGGGCTTGAGCGGCTTGGCAAACACCAAAAAACACCTTTTTCTGTTTAGCGACCATCCCGGCACCCAAAATAGTATTTTTTGGGGCTTGAAAGGCCTGGAAAACACAAAAACTATTTTTCTGTTCGGCGACCATCCCGGCACCCAAAAAGGTAGAGGCCTGGTTTGGCGACCATCCCGGCACCAAAAAAGGTACCGGTTGTAGGCTTAAGAAGCCTAGATAGCACAAAAAAGGTATCTTTTTCTGTTTGACGACCACCCCTCAGATGTCCAACTGCGCCGCACTCGGAGGCGCTCCAAGCACTTGTCCGGCACTGGAATCATCTGTATGGGTGAGACATGCTGGCGCGGCGCTGCTCCCAGGCACAGAAAAACCAGTTCGGCTGGGAGAGCTTGCATGTCAAGCCGGCTGTGTGTCTGATTGAACTATTCCGTACACACTACGTATCGCGAGTGCGACAGTTTGGCTCAGTCGGCAGAGCTGGCAAGCCGATGACTGCTGCGATGATTCGCATCTGCTTGTCTCACTTTGGGCTTCTGACCACCTGGGCAGAGTGCAGCAACTTCGGCTGCAGTCATGGCTCATCTCGCCATTCCCCCTAGTCTTTCGTCCAGCCACGGGCTTACACTTCTTCTGAGGCTTTTTCTCAACGGCCCGGCTCTTGCCCGATTACTACGAGTACCCCGCGTGAGACACCTTGAGACGACCCGCTACAAGCGTGTGTACGCAAGATAAGACCCTTCAGCCAATCCCAACAAATCCTCACAGAGGCAGCTGCCGGCTTCCACGTCCACTTCGGGGCCGTGGATTTGCCTGTTGAGGGGTGTTCGACTTCGCAGCCGTCCCAGGTTTCGGGTTACGTTCAGGGTCTGAGCCTTTGCCGGTCCCCTTGCCTTTCGAGCGCCATCGCCTCAGCCAAGCAATAAGAGAAGACAAGCTGACGACCGACTCCATTCTCACCAAGTCTGTGCCGAGGCTGCTGCGGGTTGGCGGCCTCGAGAATGCGAGTTTCAGAAAACAAAGCGAGACCCAAGCCTAATCTAACAAGAAAACTAGCAGGCTCAGTCAGGCAACTTTAAACCCACAGAACCGCTGAACCCCCCAGGATCGGCCCGAGATCCCCACAAAAAACAGAGCTCCTTGCATTCTCTAGCCCGCGTGGATTCTCGCGGCCTTGCCACATCAAACACGTGGAACTACGCCTTGGCCTTGCAATGTCACCTTCATGAGATTGGTTTGTTGGGGTTACAGTGTCGTTCAAGCCGTCATAAATGGGGCCGCAGCGCACAGCACTTTTGGTCTCGGGACCCACGTGTGAAGGGAAGCGAGATGGGGCCGGAGATAGAAGCGAGATCTGGGCGCATGGAAGCATACTATTTATTTTAGCTGGACGTTTCGCTGGCCCACCAAAAGTTGGGGCAAGAAGTGAAATTTCAATATCTCGCTCCCAGCGCAGAGTACTTCGGGGGGATATGAACCGTTCTCAACCTTCGTCACGAGGTCTACCAGCGGCCTTTGGACGGATCCCCTGTGAAAGAGGGGTTGACTTTGCTGAGGAAATCGGTGTCGTGGCAGATACAGTTTCAATCCTCTGGCCCCGTGCTGTCCCGAGCAAAAAGCAGGAAACGGTAGTTCCACGTGTTTGCAGGTGATGTGGCAAGGCCGCAAGCCACGCGAGGATGGCCGTCGTGGGAAGGCGGCGGGCCGTTGTGCTTTAATTTCACTTGCTGATCAGAACTAACAGTAACTAACTGCGATGGCCGCAGAGGAAAACAACAGACAAACATGATTGGGCACTCGCACAGATGGCTGGCTTGTGAGACGTATTGCTCCACGCCTGCGATGTACATGTTCGTTGATTGGTTCATCCTTTCTTTTCATGTGAGGCATCTTGGAAAGGGCAGGCACGGCCACGTGTGCGTCAACCGTTGTTGTTGAGATGCTGCCACTGAACAATGAGTCATGCAGCACATCGCTTGCAGGAGGGGTGGTCTCACGAAGTTAGCGCGATTTCCATTTTGCTATATGGCAGTGTCAGGAAGAGCCAGAAGAGATGCTGGCAGCTCGAGCTGATCTGCGTGACTGCCTGCGGAGCCGGCTGTAAAGTGTAGAGCTCGTTTACCTGTGCCTCCGCCTTTGAGGCGATGCACTAAAGGCTCTTCTGGGAGCACCGGCTCCGGGGATGCTCCGCAGGCCTAGATTCGGGCCTAGAGAATGCAACCAGCGGGTTTTTTTTGATGTGGGGATTGTCCGATCAGTGGGGGTTCAGCGGCTCTGTGGGTTTAAGGTTACCTGACTGAGCCTGCTGTTTGTTTTTTAAAGATTTGGCTTGGGTCTCGCATTGTTTTCTGAAACTCGCAATCGCGAGGCCGCCAACACGCAGCAGCCTCGCCGCAGACTTGGCGAGAATGGAGTCGGTCGTCAGCTTGTCTTCTCCTTATTGCTTGGCTGAGGCGATGGCGCTCGAAAGGCAACGGGGCCGGCAAAGGCTCAGACCCTGAACGTAACCCGAAACACCTTCCAACCCTAAAGCACATCCTATAAACCCTGCCTAGACTTCCCCAACCGCCCTAACCCATTCGTGACAGGCTAACGGAAACTTTAGCCCAAGATCCAAACCCCAAAGCTGTCAACCGCAAGCCCGAAACTGTCTAAGCCCTGGGACGGCTGCGCACCCTTCAGCAGGCAAATCCACGGCCCAGCCGAAGCCGAAGTGGACGTGGAAGCCGGCTGCTGCCTCTGTGAGGATTTATTGGGATTGGCTGAAGGGTCTTATCTTGCGTACACACGCTTATAGCGGGTCGTCTCAAGGTGTCTCACGCGGGGTACTCGTAGTAGTCGGGCACGAGCCGGACCGTTGAGAAAAAACCTCAGAAGAAGTGTAAGCCCGTGGCTGGACGAAAGACTAGGGGGAATGGCGAGATGAGCCATGACAGCAGCCGAAGTTGCTGCACTCTGCCCAGGTGGTCAGAAGCCCAAAGTGAGACATGTTGCTCTGCGTGCCTCGGGTTGCAAAGCATCGACCGCGATTTGATCTTAGTTTCACCCGCTTCGTGCCAAGCACTTCGCTATGGCCTTCTCTGCTACATGGCCGACGTATAAACAAACCAAGCGATGTGCTCGCAGCGGTTGACGCGCAGATGTAGCATCGCCCTTGTTTCTGTGCATATTTCCAGCTCAGATGTCCAACTGCGACGCACTCGGAGGCGCTCCAAGCACTTGTCCGGCACTGGAATCATCTGTATGGGTGAGACATGCTGGCGCGGCGCTGCTCCCAGGCACAGAAAACCAGTTCGGCTGGGAGAGCTTGCATGTCAAACCGTCTTGTCTTGCGTACACACGCTTATATCATGGGGTGGTAGACCAACAACCCCCCCTGAGCACCCACCCCCCTTTGAAGTAGTGACAAATAGTGACTAATAGCGCCTAATAGCTGCTAATGGCTAGAATGTAGCAGATTGGCCACATTAGAGCTAAGTTTTCGGAGGCAGTGTCAAGAATACCTTACTTTACCCACCTGGCTGGTAGAAGATAACAGATAGGCTCCCGCAGTCTGAACACAACCATGCCTAGCACAACCATCCGTCCAAAACCTGTGATTGTAAAATTTTCTTTATTCGGTAGAAAGCAGTAGCCGGTGGCTTTGTCCGCTGCTTGGGGGTGCGGCGTGGGGCGGACCACCACCAACCACCACGACTAAACAACGCCCTCTACCACTGCTAGCTTTGGCAGTGGGTAAGCGTCAGAATGTTACCCATGTCGGGTCTTGAAATCCGGGGATTCTGCAGTGATTCAGGGGTTGGGGCATTGTCACGGCGTTATCTTGGGTGTAGGCATTGAAACTCGTCTTTTTTGCGGGCACCACAGTCTCGTACCATGATTGTAAAAGCGACACGGTTCTGGGTCCATCCGACGGAGTCCGGGGGCTACGGCAAGCCCGTACGCGGACATATCTTCAAAGGCTCTAAAAGTGTAATGCTGGATTCTGCTGTGTTGGCAGGTCTGCGGTAAGGCTAGCACCCCAGTCTCTCTGCTGCTCAACTTTAGCGACCGCAAGAGCCACACCTGTGCTTCAAGACCATGTGAGTTCCCACGCTCCTTGTTCTCTAATCTCTAAACGGCTTCCTCGTACGTCTTCAAAAGCGGTGTTGAACAAGCTCGAGGCTGCTACGCTTCTGGAGTCGCAGTCGAGAGACGAGAGCCAGCCGCACAAGTCGGTGGGGATGACGGGTGACTCTGACCCATCAAAGAATACTCAGTCAGTTCATTAGGGTTGGGTATGTGAAATTTGGATAAGCACGTGCGTCACCCGTCAGTCAGCAGCGGCCTGCTTCACACTTGTCACTGATGCTGGCATTCATGTACTGATTCGTCCAAGCGGCGTATCCTTTGCTAACAGTCTTTAAAGCGAACATCTTGCCGGTCTTGGTCTCTTGAACCAGTTCGACCGTTCCGAAGCCACCACAGCCCAACAATCTGTGCCTTAGCAGAAACATCTAGCATCTAGCACCCGACCAACAAAGCCTAGGACCTAGGACTCAAGGACTGCGCAATCTGAAACGAACCTAAGGCCAGCCAGCATGAGTTCTGCAAGTGGCTTCGTGAGATCCTTGAAGCCCAGGGTCCACCAATCCAGGGCATCAGTGTGCCCTGAGCCATCAAAGAGCTCAGGAGCGAAGTAGTCCACTCTGCCGCAAGCCGTGTATGTTTTTCCTCAGCAGAACCATCAAAAGAACCATCAAGTGAGGTCCCTGCCGGTGCTTAGGACTAGGAAGTCGGTTGAACATGCCACGGCACTGGAGACCAGCTGTTTTGCAAAGCCGAAGTCCCCAATTTTGACGTTGCCCTCTGTGGTGAGTAGAACGTTTTCGGGCTTCAGATCTCGGAAGAGACTCCTGATGAACGTTACAAAGGCTCTGAGATCTCCTGCAAACCAAGATAACAGCTGTCATGCGCAAATGTCGTCTCGAAGTGCCACAGTTCTGCCGAGCATCCGCTTGGAATGGAGATGCCCCAGCGCCCGCGCGGCTCCAGCGATATGAAACTTTGCACACTCCTCGTTGCCCCACAACTTGCTGTAGTCGTAGTTGGAGAGCAAGTCACTCCCCAGCGCTGGCTCAAGAAGAAAATACAGATGCTGCGGCCGGGAGGGGGTTCAGGATTGTGGGGTTTGACGGTTTGAAGCCCTGGAAGGGTTTACGTAGCTTATATGAATTTCCCGCGTGCCAAGAATGATCAATTTTGCCATGTTTGTTCAGCGCCTATAGGCCTATAGTTCGCGGTTTACGACTGGTCATTTTGCATTGGGGATCCCTGTGCTTCTGAAGATGGCGTCATTGTTCGGCACCGCGAACATGAAAGCACAGCACTGCATGTCATCATTTTTCGGCCAGGTCTTCGTGTTGATTCATCAAAACCTTCGACAGTGGTTAAAGCCTTCGCCGTGAAGACGTCGCTACAACTAACTCACTCTCACGAGTGTAGCCGGTGTTTTTGTTCTTCGGGATGGTCGCAGATTTTTCGTGCAGCCTCAGTCTTTCTACGTCTAAGCCTGAACAGAAGGGAGCACGACTGGGCATATGATTTGTCCATCTCGGATCCTGGACTTGTTGTGTAACAAGGATGTCAATGCCAAGCGCTTCGGGGCCATCAAGATCCTCACCTACGATCTCATGTCCGGCTGAGTCGACCATGCTTTGCAAGTGCAAGCAGCTAGCAGCCGGCCAGCTGTGCTGCAGGACAGCCACCTTGGAAATCCGGCACACACTCGGAGATTCATGCGCAGGCCCTTCGAAACTAGGGCTGATTTGGATTGGAGGCTGTTTGACTAGCTTGACTTCTGGGACAGGTGCGGAACGGAATCGACGCAGTCCTTTGCCGAAGCAACATCAATAAAAATGTGAAGGCTTTGGTCCGGAGCTCAGCAGTGGCCTTCAGCACCAGCCTGTTCCTGAACCTTTCTAGACTCCTAGGGCCTAGGGCCCTAGAAGTTCTCATGTTTACATAGTTTTGTCCCGGGAGCACAGGGGGACGGGCCTGTGTAAGCCGGCACAACCACATGCCATTGCTTGTGATGCGAGTTCCGTGGTCAAATAATGCAAGCAGAAAAAATAAGAACCCCACACAAAGATGTGGGGAATAAAATAGAGGAATACATGAAATTAGGGGAGCTGGAGTAAGAGGGAAAGAGAACAGGGGTCGAACCTCAGAAGTAGGAGGATAGGGGTAAGAGAATCTTAGGAGAAGAGGCGTATGAGCGGGGAGACTTACACAACTGACAATACAAGGACGAGCATAGAAATATGCGAGTGTTCAACGGGAGAGTTAGAGTAGGAGATGAGGAATAGAAGGATGGAAGTAGGAGAGTCGGAAGGCAGGAGTAGAAATGTGAAAATAGGATTAGGAGAGTATTATTATGGGAGAAAGAATAGTGGAGCGGGAGTAAGCGAATGGCAGTGCGAGAATGACGACAGAAAGTTACGTGTAGAGGAGCAGTCGGTCGCATGTTGCATTTAGGGCTGGGCTGCTGAAACCGGATCTGGACGCTACATCTCGAATCTTATAAGTTCAAGTCCCTTCTGGTTTCCCCAAACCCTAAACCCCCAAGCCCCTAAACCCTAAACAATCGCAACTGTGTATATACATCGCCATCTCGCTTCGAAAGCTTGTGGTTAGAGGCCCAAGGTGCTTCTCTCCCAAATTCAGATCGGTCCGAGGTTTAGAGTTTAGGGTTTTGGGTTTCGGGCTTTTTCGGGTCCTCTAATCGGAAATGATACACCCGTAAATCCCGCGCGAGCGACCTGTCGGCGTCGGGCGAAATCGACAAAAAACCAAACATCTGCCGTGCATTCAGATTCGGAGTTTAGGAGATTAAGTTCAGCGTTGGTTTCGGGCTGAGGGTCTAGTTTAGATTTTAGGGCTTAGCGACGGTTTAGGATTGCCGGGCAAGCTGTAGGTTTCGCTTTTGGTTCCACGGGAACCGCTTGGAGTCGTGAGCTTTTGACCATCACGGCCCTGAAAGGGTGCTATAGGTGTCGCTGCAAGGTTTTTGATTATAAGGGGCTTAAGTTACTATATTGAAAAGTTTCTGGTGAGCATATGATTATGGGGCCTCGTAAGGAAAATTCAATATTGGTGACGGTACTTACTTGGGGGATGGGGTACTGAACACTTGATTTCAACTATATAAGTTTACATACGGCATTATTGGTTCTTCAAGCATGGAAGACAAGGTTAGACGTTATAAGTGCAGGTATGATCTACCCTGAGCTTCCCTAAACCCGAAGCCCTGAAACCTACATCCTCGACCCAAGTATTGAGACTTTGGGTAGCACATCGCGAGGATGCTTTCCGGCAAGGGCGCCGCAACCCCTGACACGATTCGTCAAAACCCTGCAGTTCATCGATTTAATCCATTCCGGTAGTACCTGCGCGCCTTCATTCAAAGGTTTAATAATCTTCATTGAGCCTACCTAGGGCCTTTGCAACGACTTTATAAGCCCCCCGAGCCTAAACTCTAAACTTTGAGCCCTCGATCTAACTTCCCCCCACACGGATTCGCACACTTAGCCACTTAGCAGTCGGAGAACCGCTTTCAGCAGAAAGTGAACTTATGGTACAGTGTTTGGGGTTTGTTCAGGGGTTTGGGTTTAGCGTTTACTTTAGGGGTTCAGGGTCAAATGGCTCTAGGTTTTAGGATGGTTTAGGTGCTCAGGTTTCAGGTGGTTTTGGCTTAGGGTTGAGGAGTTTGGGGTTTGGGGTTTAGAGGATCTAGAACTCGCAGCTTGTTAAGATATCCTTGCACAGGTGACAGGGGGGGTGGAGATTTCGAACATATAGGGTCCCTAGTTGGATATCCACAACAGACAGAGTCGGCCACTTGCAGTGCTCCTTTCCGACGAGAGAGGCATCTGCACTTGAGCCTGAATCTTTGAGTCTTTCGAGTCCTGAACTTCAAAGAGCCACGAGAGCATGAGTCTTTCGTATTTCCAATTGCGGAGCAAGGTGGATGTGCTTCATTTCAGAGCCAGCAGGCATCCGCCACAAAAATGACAAACAAGCAGTGAAGGCACTTCAAGGAAGTTCCTTAGAGCACCCGCATGCTTTTGTAAATTAGACGAGGGTATTCAGGTATATTGTCGTATGACAGCATGATCACTATCGGGCTCCTGAATAAAGTGAACCTAAACTTCAGGACGGCCGACATCATAGTTTGGAAGCACATGGAGGCTAGTCTTGTTTCCGAGCATGGTCAGGAAGCCCCTGCAGCTCTTGGGGTTCCTAGACAGTTACTCTTCTGTTCAGCGTTTGAAAATGCTTGGTTCCCTCGGAAGTCAGCCAGAGTATCAGAAAAAGGCTGCTGCATTCACTCCGCCAGCCAGGCATCGTCGCGAGCTTCCAGTGGCAGCAGATGTCTCTCATCTCGCAGCTTGGTTTCGAAGCCTGGTTGTCGGGCGTACACTTGGAGAGCCCACAACCCAGTACTTAGCGAACCGATGGCATGATTTAGTGCTTCATATTTGGGGCTTCCCCATTATATTGGGGGTATTGTTTTTTCGGGTACACCTTCCTGCACCCCTCAAAGCTAAGGCACATGTGGCGACAAATTGTCCCGCCAAAACCATGCCAGGAAGAGCACTACCAAGACTAGGTAGGTGGTACAGGCATGTAGGTACGGCTATTCCAAGTCACTCGGTCCACCAGTCCTGTTGCCCTTCCTGCTCTGCTTCATGTTGTTTAATTATAATCCGGACTTAGGCTTGCTGGTCTACGCAGCGAACCCTAAGATTATCAATCGATGCAAGTGCCTGGAAACTTCCATCTGTTGGCGGCTCGAGTTGTTTTCGATGCGGGGGAGAGCCCTAACTCCCAAGCACATACCAGGTGTTACAAGGGTTTGGTTACGGGGTTCAAGAGGTGTCAGCCCTAGGCCATGAAACCTAGTCTCGTACGTAACCAAACTTTTCAACCGCAAATTGTGACCCTTGAGCCGCCACAAGGCCTTAAACAAACATCAATTTCAGCACCATGATCACAGGTTGGGCCTCGCGTCCTTCATTTGTCTCCTCATTGCCTTGGGCGTGGGGACGCTCAATGATGTTGGTTTGTGTGGCTTTACGACTCGGGATGTTGGGTAGAATGGGGGCTTTAGGGTTGGGGTTTAGGGTTTTGGGGTTCGCAGGGGCTGCTTGGCTGGCTAAGAATCAGGGTGTGATTGCTTAGAGGCTCAAGAGACATCGTGAGCTGATTGTACATCGGGTTATCGGTAGCGTAGCCGAAATCCTATGATCATTCAATGTAGTTGCGGCTTGCTCAAACCTTTGCAACTTCTGTTCCTTACCTTCGTTGCGTTTGAAGAGTCCAGCGAGATTTGGGCTGCAGTTTTACCGTAAGCCCTGACCAAACCAAAGCCCTCTGAGCCCACAGAGTCTGTATGTCTTATTTTCTATGGGACACTTGAGCCCCAAATCACGAACGTTAAATGACTTTAAAGCAGGAAACCCCGCTATCCGACATTATACACCCTCCGGACAAGCTTGTGCATGTCCCAAACCTCGGGTGAGCCAGGGCATTTTCTAAATCTTTGCCACTCTAGTTGTTTAGTCGATCCGACTTGCTCGGTCGCCTGACCATGACTTTTCAAGTAAGAAGTGCTGTGTCCTAATCCTGTCTCGTGGCTTACTACACCTCGGATCCCTGTTGCCCACACCCCTTAAAGGGGACCCTGCGATGGCACCCCACCCTTAAAGAGGACCGTATTCGAGTACCATTTAAAAGGGGACCCTATGTCAGGGATCCCGAAGACTGGCGGAAGATCTATGTTATGGAAGATGAGGGTAGGGTTTAGGGTTTAGGGTTACCCTATGTTTTGGAAGATGAGGGTAGTACCTGCGTGTTCTTCACATACTACAAACTGGGACACCATCTTCAACAACCCTGTAATCCCGTCCCGTTGGAGCCTCTCAAAGGGGGCCCGGGTTCAAGTCATGCATTAACACGAACCCGTTTAGTTGAACAACACAGGATCCTGTGTTTGATTGACAAGCCTTAATTAGC